GGGCCAGTAGCCTGGGCAGTGATGAATCATGTAGAGCAACCAGGCCTTGGCATCAGGCCCTCCCTCACATCTCATCTGTTTGGAAACACCAAGACCCAATCCCAACATGTTGAAGAAAACTCTAGTATGTCTGTAAATCTCAGTGACTATTGTGCTTGTCAAACCCACCTTTGAGAATTTATATTCTGTTGCTTCACAGAATGCCTTGGGCACCCATGACCCAGCAGTTGTTGAAGATGGTCTGTCTTATCTGGATTATGCTGATGGGCAGAGGTTGCTGGGAGATGGCCCCAGGGTGTCAGCAGCGGGGGGGGGGGGGGGGGGAGCGGCTTCACTGGGTTTGGTGGGAAGACCGGCTTGGTGGTTTCCAGAGTCATACTGTTTTAAAATATATATTTTTACTGATTTCAGAGAGGAAGGGATAGAGACATCAATGATGAGAGAGAATCATCGATCGGCTGCCTCCTGCACAACCCCTACTGGGGATCCAACCCACAACCCGGGCATGTGCCATTGACCGGAATAGAACTTGGGACCCTTCAGTCTGCAGGCCGATACTCTATTCACTGTGCCAAACCAGCTAGGGCGAGAGTGATACTTTAAAAAAATATATATTTTTAATTGATTTCAGAGAGGAAGGGAGAGGGAGAGTTAGAAACATCAATGATGAGAGAGAATCATTGATTGGCATGCAGGAACCGAGCCCAAAATCCGGGCATGTGCCCTTGACTGGAATCGACCCCAGGACCCTTCAGTCTGCAGGCCGATGCTCTATCCACTGAGCCAAACCAGCTAGGGCCAGAGTGATACATTTGGACCCAGGTAGCCTGACTTTTGCATTTTATGCTCTTCGTTGCTATACTAGCCCTCCCAAGGCTGCACAGAGTTCATGGTCACACACATATCCCCAGTGACACAGGGAAGTGAGAAACCCTAAGCCTCTTCCCAAAAGAACGCTGTTTCCTACTCTCCTCCTCCAACCCACCTCTCCAGCCCCACGGGCTCTCTCTGCAGGACAGCTCTAAATCCTGCAGAAGCCACCACGTCTGATGCACCTGGTTTGGCATTCAGGGCTATAACTTGGACACAACTGCCCTGTGGAAGGCAGAATAATGGCTCCCAAAGCTGTCCACATTCTACTCCCTGGAGCCTGTGAATGTGCTGCATGGCAAAGGGATTTTTGCAGGCCTGGCCAGGTGGCTCAGTTGGTTGGAGCATTGTCCTGATGCACCAAGGCTGCAGGTTCAATCCCTAGTCAGAGCACAAACAGGAATCAACCAATGAATGCATAAATGGGAGGAGTGGCAGATTGATGCCCCCCCCCCCCGCCCCCAACACACAATCAAAATGTTTATTTTTCTAAAGAAGGACTTTTGCAGATGTGATTAAGGGCTTTGAAAAGGGGAGATTTTCCTGGACTATGTGGGTGGGCCCAATCTAACGATTCAAGACTTTAAAAGTGGAGAGCTTTGCCCAGCCCGTGTGGCTCAATGGTTGAGCGGCAACCTGTGAACCAGGAGGTCACAGTTCCATTCCAGGTCAGGGCACATGCCTGGGTTGCGGGCTCGCTCCCCAGTAGGGGCTTGCAGGAGGCAGCCAATCAATGATTCTATCTCATCATTGATGATTCTTTCTCTCACTCCCTTCCTCTCTGAAATCAATAAAATAATATTTAAAAAAAACTTTTAAAAGTGGAGAGCCTTTTCTGGCTGTGGTTAGAGAGAGGTGATGGAAGAAGGAAGGGTCAGAGAGATACCCCCCTGCTGGCTTTGAAGATGGAGGAAGAGTGGCCAAGAGCCAAGAAATCAGGCAGCCTCAACCGACCGGCGTGGTTCTGTGGTTGAACGTCGATCTATGAACCAGGAGGTCATGCCTGGGTTGTGGGCTCAATCCCCAGTGGGGGGTGTGCAGGAGGCAGCTGATCGATGATTCTCTCATCACTGATCTTTCTAGCACTCTCTCCCTCTCTGAAATCAATAAAAATATATGTAAAAAAAAAAAAAGCAGCAGCCTCTAGAATCTACAAAAGGCAAGGAAATGGATTCTGCCCTAGAGCGTCCAGAAAGAAATCTTGACTTTACCCCGTGACACCACGTTGAACTTCTGTCAGATAATACATTTGTATTGTTTTAAGACACTGAAGCCGTGGTGATTTATGACAGCAATAGGAAACGAATACAGTCCCCATAGAAGCTTCCTCCAACCAGTTAGTCCCTGCTAGTCTGACTCCAGGCACCATGTGTCCTCCCTCACACCTTTGCTCCTGCTGCTGCCTGTCCAGGACACTCAGTTCACCTCTCCTGCGCTCCTGTTAACAACTGCCTTCCCCTCTACACTGTCCTGGCATTGACCCCTGCCAGCAGCATTCACCCTTCAGCCTGCCCCTCCCGCGGGCCCCCCTCTAGACCATGAGCTCCTTACAGGCCGTGCCTGTGATTTATTTTCCTCCGACTCCATGACCAGGAGTGGTCCACAGAGGCCTGCACAATGGACCTGGGGCACTTATGTAGAACCCCTGGTTCTTAGTCCCCAGCTGCATCAGGATCACCCGGGATCCCTACAAAAACCCCAATCTACCAAATCACGGTGGAAGGACGGGCGGCGGCTACGCATGCATTATTGGGGGAAGATTCCCAAGAGTCAGAAAGTGGAAAAACAGCAGGGAGGTGAAAAGTAGGATATGTTGCCACTTGTGTGAAAAAAATGGAAAAAACAAATATTTGTAACAAATTTTTAAAGAATCAGCTATCTTTGGAAAGATATAAAAAACAAGAGAACATAACTCCTGGTAACTTTCTAAATTCTGTATCATATATACATATTAACTGTTCACAAAAGTAAGTAAAATTTTAAAAACTCAAAATACTGATTCTGGTGTATCTCCAGAAAAGACCCAGAATGCCCCAGGTGGGGCACAGGAATGTCCCTGGAAAACACTGTCCGCCAGCTCATTCCAAGTCAGGAACTGAATTGTCAGGAAGAGGGCAGAGCCAAGAAGCACAAACTGGAAATGCACTTCATCAGACAAATAAATAGAAAGCTCTCCAAGGGACTGGGAAGCCCTAGAAACCCACTGACTCAGTCCCGCCTCTGCATTTTATGGGCCAGGAAAGAGAGGGAGAGTAACCTGCCCACAGCAACACAGCCAGTCAGAGGCCCAGGCCAGTGCCCCAGGAATGATAGCGACAAGGACATCGATTCCAGCCCCTGCCCACCCTCATGCAGGGGCCCTGCGGACTCACGAGGCAGCAGGACAGGAAGATAGAGAAGAAAACACCATCTTTAATCAACCCACCTGCACAGAAACCAGGGGAACGTGCCCTGCCTTGCAAGGTCCCAGTGAGAACTCGGTCCCCTTGCAAAAACTGTCTTATAAAAACAAAAGGCTTCAAAGCACCAGTGGCTAAACCCCTTGAGTAGAAAGGGGGTGGGGGAGGGGAGGGGAGATGACAATTGGCTGGGGGTCGGGCAGGGGGGAGAAGGGAGGACTGGAGGCAGGAGTTAGCCAAGTGGTGGGGCAGCAGTCAGGCCTCAAGGGAACTGTCCCCATCTTGAACTGTACCCACCAGCTAAAGGGGCTGACCATCTGGGACCTCGGTGCCCGTGGTGACCAGAGGAACTCCTGGGGCTGGTTCCTTGGCACAGAACTGCACTGGGAGGGGGTTTTAGCTCAGGATATTTTGGCTTTAGACAGTAGGAAATACTAGACTGGAGAGGGAAGAGCATAGAACAAAGTGGTCACCATGGACGGGCTCAGGTGTGCAAACTGTCTGCACTTCCCTCCAGCTCCCTGAGGCCTCCCACCCTTCCTTACCCAGGGCCACTCCAATTTCACAGGCTGCGAGGCTGAGGCCTGATCCTCCTGCCCTTGGACTCACCAGCCAGGGCACAGGATGCAGGCTGCTCTGGGATGCCTGTGGGGGGAGGTGGGGAATTGAATGAGCTCTCATCTCTACTTGCTCTCAAGGAAGTGTGCTGGGCCTCCTGACCCCACCCCACCCCCACTCTACCTCTTCAGAACTCCAGGACATTGGAGTAGTCGTAAGCGCTAGTGATCTGTGAGCACTGGTGACCAGCTAGAGCGGACCAGCCCTTTTCCACTCTTAAATCACAGGTCTTCCAACCGGTCAGGTGGAGTTGCTGAGAGCATAGGGGACCATAGGTGCAGCAGCTTTAGGCACCTGGAAAGGGGGGTGATGACTGACTGTGAGTCCCCTTTCCTGGAGAGAGCTTGAAAGGGTTGCCAAGGGTGGACAGAAGCCAAGTCTAGGAAGGCTTCCCTGTGGGCCAGGCTGAATTCAGGGCTCTGGGCTCCATATGTCTAGTTCCCCAACGAGAGAACGGGTATATTGCTTTAAGAGAGGCGCTGGCAAGTGGTGGCGGTGATGTGTAAGTATGGTGTGGATCTCATGGGTTCTAGAGTGTCCAGGCTGGAAAGGGGTTTGTTTGAAAATGGAATGCGGAGACCAGGCACTGGGTTTTGGAGGTTGAAACTACAGAAAGTACACTGTGTTCAAGGCCTGCCTCCACCAAAAGCCTAGTTGTGTGGCCTCTACACCTCTGGGCCTCAGTTTCCTTATCTGCAAAATGGGGATTATAATACCAGCCTAACCCAGGAGGGAACTGAGTGTCAACTGAGAGAGAAGGCTAGAAAGAGCTCCATCTGCTAAGGGATTATTTTAATTATTTGAGGTGGGGAAACTGAGGACCAGAGGGCAAGGGCTTTGCCAGATGTCACACAGAGAGTCAGGGATGGAGCTGCGATTGGAACCCAGGACTCCTGCTCCTAGCTCACGGTGTGAATGAGTGTGGGGAGGTGGGGTGAGTCTGTCCATCCTGCCTCTCCTCTCTGGACAGTGGACAGGATGCTGAGCGAAGGTTGAAAGAGAGAGGCTGGAAAAGGGAGGGAGGCCCCAGCGCACGCCAAGGCAGATATTAAAAAAAATACAAACCCCGAGATTCCCCTCCCGCACCCCGCCCCGCCCCGCCCCATCCCTGAAGTCCAGGCTGCAAAGGGCCAAGTCCAAGTCCGAGGCAGACCAGATAGAGCCGCGCAAGCTGCAGTCAGCCCGCCAGCCACCAGGGGGCGCGCCTGCCATCTTGGCCCGAGCTCGTGGCAGCGGCTGTCAGTTTAGCACAAAGCACTCGGCACGGCACCGGGTGGGCGTGGGGCTGAAGCTACCCCGACCTGCAGGAAACAAAGGCAGGTTAGGAAAGTGGACCCCGAAAATGGGAGAGCAGAGAGATCCGACTGCTCTTCCCACCCCTCCTCTCCTTTTTACCGACACTAACGCCCGGGTCCCCCATCCCACCCTGCTCGGCGCCATGACCCACGTGTACAGAGGCTGCAGCTGTAAATGCGACGTCTTCTGGGGCGCCTGGTATCCGTAGGAGTCAAAACCACCGATGAAGTCAACTGCAGAAGGGGAGGTGGCATACAGTTAGAAACGGGCTGGGGGCGGGGCGTCCCTAAGGGAGAAGGTTCTTGGGGGCAGGGCTTGAGCCACTTAAGGGGAGGAGATGGGGTTGGGGGAAAACGCTGGGAATGAGAGGTGCCAGATAGGGACCAGCCTTGTGGAGCCTCTCCAAGGGGCAGGGCCTGAAAGGGGCGGGTAGGGTGGTGGTGCTGGGGCCATGGACTGGGCACCTGGACATCCGGACCTCAGTCCAGAATGGGCTGACTATATAAATCCCACCCACCCCTGGCTCCTCTCCTCCCCACTCATAGAGGGGCCGACCCAGGGCTCCCTCCCACCGAGGCCATGCGGGCCCCTGTCCAGGGTGCTGAAGACGCGGGGTGGCCCGCGGCCAGGCTTTTCCGCTTCCTTGGGGCGCCACATACTTACAGCTGTCCTCTTCCTCCAGGAACACTTTGCTCACGTAGCAGGCGAACACAAAGCCGAACAGCTGAGGGAGGAAGAGGATGAGGAGAGGGAAGCTCTCCCTCCACCCGCTGCCTGGCCCTGCCTACCCCGGCTGGAGGGACAGGGTGTGCTCACGTGAAGGCAAACCCCTAACAACTTCCAAGTTAATGGCTGGGCCTTAAAGTCAAACATTCCTGGTTGCAGTCTCTGTCCTGGGACTGTGACTTCGGACAAGTAATTATTTTACCTCTTTGAGCCTCAGTTTCCCCAGTTGGATCTGGGCAATACCTTACTGGCTTGCTAAGAGGAAAGAGAATTATGGGGGGTGGGAGATCCTCCCCAGGCAGGCTGGAAGACCCAGAGTCAACCCTTCTTAACTAGGGCTAAGCAAAGGGGCTTTCAGACTCCACTTCTGGGAGTGTTGTGAGGTGGGGACAGGAGGACTCACAGCCAGGAAGATCTGCAGGGCGCTGCTGAGGGCTTCAATGTAGGGATAGTCGAGCAGGCAGCCAGTGACAGAGATGACATGGTGGTCTTCCAGGGCCAGGCGGGAGTTCAGGACAGGTGTCACCAGGCAGCCTGGCCCGTTCTCCATCCACCAGGAGCGGTGCAGGGATGTGTTGAAGGTCATGATGAAGTCCCGGTCCTGGGGGTAGAGGGGCCTAGGATACTGAGCTGGGGTGGGGGAATCCTCCCCAGCTCCCAGGAGACTATATATAAAGCCTATTTCACATATGCACCCTTATAGCAGCCTCCTCCCATAACTTGCTTTGAGGTGGGCATGGGGGTGAGGGGGCATGCAGAGTATGTATCTGCAGATCCACACTTGGCCAGTAGGTGGCACAGGATGACCATGCAAGCCTCCCTATTCCATCAGCAATAGAAGGGGCTGGTACTGACCCACAGAACCCCAGGATTCCAGGGCTGGAAAGAACATTAACAGTGACCAGATATAATTTTCCAGCTATTGGTGAAATCTTCAATACAGGCCCTTTCACGGCCCATTCAGCCTCTCCCATGTGCTCCCTATGTGTGACCCTGGGCAAACCTTTTCCCTCTTGGGCCTCAGTCTCTCCATTTGAAATGGCGAAGTGGCTGACCTAGGTCAGAAGTTGTTACCCATGATGTGCATCCCTGTGTTCATTAGTCATTCACTCATACAGTCTGCTAACAAATATTCACTGCATGCTGACCAGGTGCACAGCACTGAGATGTGTGATCTTGTTTATCCCCTCAGCAATCAAAGGAAGTTGGGGTTGCTCTTATCTGAATTTACTAAATGAGGAACTGAAGTTCAGAGAGAGTAAGACACTTGCCCAAGGTCAGACAGCTAGAAAACATTAAAGCTGGATTTGAATCTAGTAGATAGTCAAACTACCAAGCCCATTGCTCTCATTCATGTATGCTGCCTTCTTAATATCTAAGAATGAAAGTTGTGCTCTCGATGGTTTGGCTCAGTGGCTGGGGTGTTGGCCTGTGGACCGAAGGTCGAGGGTTCGATTCCTGGTCAAGGGCACGCACGTACCTTCGTTGCAGGTTCCCCAGCTCTCATAGGGGCCCATGCAGGAGGCAACCAATCAGTGTGTGTCTCTCTCATGTTGACGTTTCTCTCTTTCTCTCCCTCCCTCCCTTTCACTCTCTCTAGATATCAATGAAAAAAAAAATATCCTTGGGTTAGAATTAAAAAATAATAATAATAAAAATGGAAGTTATACCCTCTGGGTTTACTCTTCTCAAAGCTAAATATTCCTACTTTCTTCGATATTTTTCTATGTGACATGGTCTGTTCAATTTTCCCCGAACAAACTCTACCTAACCTCTTGTTCTTCTGAAAAATATTGATCAGCACTGAACTCGAATCTTTGCGGTCTAAACAGTACAAAGTGCATGGGATTTTCACCTCCCTTGCACTGAGCACAGGTGAGGCCTAAGAGTAGCTTTGTGGGCCACCATATACTGTTAGTTTCTACAAAGCTTGTTATCAACCGAGACCCCAGCCCATCTTTACACAGACGGATCTTCACCCTTATCTGCTCCATCATCATTTGTGTCTGAGAAGTGCAGAGGGGGCCAGAAACAAAAATGTGGGGTGGGGGATGGGGATAGATTATTTGGGTGTGCGGAGGGAAGTTTCTTCAAGAAATAATCCCCCCCACACACACACAAAAAAAATCCACTAAAGAGATGATGGCCCAGACCCATATCACCGTGGGAGCCTTTAGGGTGGGAGGGCAAAGGTCAGGCTCTGCCCTCTGGCACTGCCAGGCCTGAGGCTTACCTGGGACAGCTGTCCAACCTCCAGGTAGAAGCAGATGATAAATGCATTCCAGCCAACCCAGAGCACCAGCCAGGCTGCATACTGGGGAAAGCAGAGGTGGGGTCAGGGTGGGGCTTGGGGGAGGGGGCTTGGGGTACGTCCATGGACACAGAGTTAATGGACTGAGAAGACTTTTGCAGGGGACGTTACGACAACACCTTGCTCATAGAGCACTGAGAATAGTTAACAAATCATTTTTATACCAAACCAGTCTTTATAACAGCCCTGCAGGGAAGGCATTGTCCTCGCTTCAGAGATAACTAATTTAAGACCTAGAGAGAGTCATTTTTTCCAAGATCACACAGCTAGAAAGAGGTAGGGCTGGAACTCAAACCCAAGTCCTGGGGTAGCTAATCCTATCCATTCGGCAGAAAACAACAGCCACCGGACATGGCCAAGAGCTGGAGAGGAGCTGGCTATTTCCACCCAAACCCTATGCCTACAATTCCAGTGGCGGCCACCAGCAGACACAGCATTTTACACTGGTGTCTGGGCCGTCCTGAGAACTGGAGAGAAGGGTTCTCATATCTCACTCAGATGAGAGAAAACCCTGGAAGGGCCACGTTCTCCTGGCCTCTGGGAGGTGGGGACAGGCCCTAGAATGAGGGCTAGTGGGCTCTGGTGGTAGCAGGACACTGCGTGTCACTGTTATTGCAGGTGTCAAGCGTTTCTGTAGTAAATCTACCGAAAAGCCTTTTCCCTCAAGAGAGGTATGTGAATGGGTCACGGAGGAAGAGCAGGGGACACAGGTGAACTGAAAACAGGAGTTTGACAGAGACCATCCAGGACCAACCAGGACTTAGAAAAAGGGAGCAGGAGGAAGGAGCCAGGGACACAGTCCACTCTGGGGATGGGCCTCAGAGCCACTCTCGACTGTATTCTTGATGAACACCAAGGGACAAGCGCCAAGCTTTCCCGACGCAACCTGAGGAACTAAGCTAGACCAGGCTCCGTCCTCGCACTGGCTTTCTGAGGCGGCGTGGTGAGGTGGCAGGAGCCTCCACTCTGGATCTGAGGCTCTAGTCCTGGCTCTGCCACCCTCTAGCTGTGTGACCTTAGGAAGGGCTGCAACCTTTCTGAGACTCATTTCCTCATCGAGAAAATGGAGATGGTGCGATATACCTCGCAGAGCTGCGTAAAGATCCAACAAAGCAAGTGGCATCTTAGCAGAGTGTCCAACACAAGGTGGGCACTCATTATATCAGTGGTTCTCAACCTTGGCTGCACATTAGAATCACCTGGGAATCTTTTTAAAATCGCGATTTCTGGGCCTCATCCTCCGGAAATTCTGTTTCTTTGTTATGGGGTGGGGCCACAACATTAGTAACAAAGAAACAGAATTTCCGGAGGATGAGGCCCAGAAATCAGGATTTTAAAAAGATTCCCAGGTGATTCTAATGTGCAGCCAAGGTTGAGAACCACTGCATTAAATGATGTATCATGTTAATAGTTGGATTTTTCCCTCGGAAATTCTTTAGGAAAAACACCAACCTGCCTCCGCTGAATAAAGAAGCATTGGGATTTGGGCATTCACATCAACAGGGCTAGAGGCAAGACAGGGCAGGGGTCTGCGTGCCTGTGGTGGGGGGCAGTTTTGGTTGGAGGAGTGGGGGAGATGGATAGGGGTGAGGAGAAGAGGTTGGCTGGGGAGGGGTCAATGAGCCATACCAGAATGAGGTACCGGGAGCGGTACTGCACCGTGCCAAAGATGCCCAGGATGACCGCCATGATGTGCAGGAAGTTGGCTAGGATAGGAGCCCATTGGTAGCCCAGGAAGTCAAAGATCTGCCGCTCCAGCGCAGCCACCTGTGGGAAAGAACACACTGAGGCCGTGTGCACGCCCTAAAAGGGAAGGGCAGGGACTCCTTGACCTTGTGGAGAAGCTGACATCAGTTATTGTGGTGATGAGGCACCATGACGGATTGTGCAGAAATCTTGGAGCCATCCCAGCCCCGCAGTACCAAAGGGCTGCTGGGAGGTGGGACAAGTCTGTGGGGGTGGAGGACGGAGCCCTGATCATGACTTTGGGGTGGGCTGAAGGGAGATGGGAGCCAGGGTTCAGAACACCTACCTCCCTGCCAAGAGGCCCTCCCCACTTGCTCCTTCCTTACGTGGGGCTCTCAGTTGATGGAGTCAGGATCCAGACTCCTCCCTGGCCCTGCCCTAGGGCTGAGCCCTGGCCCTGGAGGCCCCAGGGATGCCTGGGGTCTGAGTCATCTCTTCCCAGGCCCCCTCTCAGGAGGTTACCCTGGCCTATGGGATCCATGGGCCACAGAGAAAGGGATTTTATTTTCTCCCCTTCCCCGAGGGAGCTGCAGTAGATTGCAAAACTGGCCTCAAATTCTTCTTCCTATTTCCATGCTCTTTGGCAGTGCCCGCCCACACTAGCTCCGTACTTGGTCATGTGACTTGCTTTGCCCAATGGGGCTTAAGCAAATGTGAAGCAAGTGAAGACGTGAAAAATGCTTGTGCACTGGAGCTTGCTCACTTGCTACACTTGTAACACAGAGAACACCTTGTGAAGGAGCCCGAGCTGACCTGCTGAATGGCAGGCGCCCCAGCTGCCAGCCAGTCAGCCATCAGAGTGAGGCCGTTCTAGCTCATTCAGATGCTAGCCAACCCACCAGCTGGCCACAGATACCCAGCCCAGAGTCAGAAGGATCTCCCAGCCGACACACAGAATCATGAGCTGAATAAAATGATTCTTTTAAACTACTACATTTTGGGGTGATTTGTTACACAGCAAAAGCTAACTGATACAGGACACAATCAACACTCCCTTTCCAGCAGCCCCTACTTCAATCTTTCAGCTGATACAATCAGGAACAAAGGTGCCAAGGGTACCTATTGGTATTGACTGACCAACATTCCTTCTTCTGGTTTTGGAAGCTGCCACCCAGACACTCAGTTCATGTGGCTTGGTGGGGCTGATCCGACTTCTAACTTCCACAGTGGCTGGTGGCCTATGCCTAACCAATAATCCACACAGCGATCTACTCAGGGATGGGCACTCACTGTGTGTCCTGCTCCCGAGAGTCACCAAAGCTAAGGAACAGGGAGAGAGTGAGGAAGGAAGATGAACAAGCAGGGACAGTGTCCCCGGTGACATCATTGTAGGTCTGAGGACCCAGACATGCCTGAAACGAACTGCCCCTCCCTGGACCTGCGATTTCTGTCACTTGCAACCAAGAGTCCTGACTGAGATAGAAGAAGGGGAGAGAAGCGGGTCTGGCTTGGGAGGGAAAGGGAAGATTCTGATCAAGTGAAAAGGTCCCAGAAGCTTTTTTCCTGGGAGGGAGGCAGGAGAAGGTGGACCTGATGCTACCACACAGATGGCAGGGCTGGGCAGAGACCCAGGAAGCTGCGGGCTCAACCCTGGCACCCACCCACCTGGCACCAGCCTGCCTCTTTTTGGTGACTCCCCTCGCAGGGCTCTGCGGATTGTAAAGAGCGTTCCAAGTTCATCTCTCCCTCCATACTCCCTGGCAGAAAGGCAGAACTGAGATCATGATCTCATTTTGGAGAAAGAGACAACTGAGGCTCAGAGAGGGGAAGTGACTGGCCTAAGGTCACACAACTGGTTGGTGGCAGAGCCAGGCAACCATTCTGCCTTTCTCTGCCACCTGTCTCACCTTGGCCCCAACACACAACCTCTCCCAGTGGGCAGTGGCCTGGGTGTTAAGAGGCATGGTTCCGGTTGAGAGTCTGGTACTGACCATGGGTGACCTTGGGTAGGCCACCTTCCTGCTGGGTCTTGGGCTGCTCTTGCATACATAGAGGCCGCTGGACCACATGACCTCTAAGGGTCCTTCTGGTTTTGACGTCAATGATCTGCCGACCTTGGGAGAGAAACTCCCCAGGCTGCTCCCCCTGCCAAAAGGCCCTGCCTCACTTTTTTTTTTAAATGAGGTTTATTCTCTCTTTTTTAAAAAAAATATATTTTTATTGATTTCAAAGAGGAAGGGAGAGGGCGAGAGAGATGGAAACATCAATGATAAGAGAGGGACTCATTGGACGGCTGCCTCCTGCACGCCCCATACTGGGGATCAAGCCCGAAACCTGGGCATGTGCCCTATGACCGAAACCGAACCCAGGACCCTTTAGTCTGCAGACCGATGCTCTATCCGCTGAACCAAACTGGCCAGGGCTCTGCCTCATTTTTGTTCTCCCTTCCACCCACACTCTGCTAGGCTTTAGGAAACGTGGTGGTTTGGGATCCAGCTTGAAGCTCTCAACTCAGCTGGCACCTGGTCCTGGCAAGGAGGCTGTCATCAGAGGACAGAGGGCTGTGGCTCAGTTCTTGGGCATTGTCCCGTGCACTGAAAGGTAGCAGGTTCGATTCCTGGTCAGGACACATGCCCGGGTTTAGGGCTCAATCCCCGGTAGCGGGGGTGCAGGAGGCAGGAAGTAGCTGATCAATGCTTTGCTCTTACATCGATGTTTCTCCCTCTCCCTTCCTCTCTCTCTAAAAATCAATAAAAATATTTATCAAATAAAATTATTCTCCACCGCAGGACTCCCTGCCTCCCCACTGGTTTTATTTTTTCCATGGCATTTATCTACCCACCTTCTATGTACTGTCTATCTCCTGCATTAGAGGGCAAACTCCATGAGAGTGGGGGTTTCTGCCTGAGATGTCCGCTGCTGTGTTAGTGGTGAGGGCCAAGCCTGGCACACTGCAGGTGCTAAAGGTAACCTCATTCTCCACCCTGTCTGGCCACTCCCGAATCCAGCGCAGCTCATCCTCCCATGCACTCAGACCCTTAAATATCCAAGAACCTCAGGGCTATATTTGGCCCTTTTTCATGCTCCACTTGTCCCAGCAAACGCATGCCTACCCAAGCTTCAGTGACTACCTGCTCATGTTTCAGCTTCCAGCCCCTTTATAAACCAACTGCCCACTGGATGGCTCATCATGAACTTAATACGCTCAAACCTGGTCCATTTCCAGTGACTTGGGGCCCCATGATGTGTCCAGCTGCATGAGCTGGAAAACGGAACTTTAGGTCCTGGTCTCCCCGCTCTCCCTCACCTCCATGCCGGGCCTGTCAAGTTCTGGCTCTGACTTGCTGAATCTCTTACACAGCTGGTCACCTTTCTCCCTCCACTGTCTGCTCTCACCTGGCCTTTGCAATGCCACGCCCCCCCCACACCCCACTTCTAACCTATCCCCCTCTTTCCTGAGTGAAACCTCCAAGAGGCTCCCCTGCTGCCCCTCCCCCTGCCCTTAGCTCCCCACCCCCACCCTAATTATTTATTTATCGGGTAGCTGCCAGCTGAGGGGATGCAGTTGCCATGGGAACCTTCAGCCCCAGTCAGGGCTGCTTCTGTTCTCAGTAGGATGCTCTTGTCTGTCTAGACGCCAACCCCAGGAGTTCAACACCAGGTGGGGGGTGGGAAGTGGGGGGCAAGGAATGAATAATGGAGATGGGAGATGGGCCCACCCCAGCCCCTAGGAGGAGAGGGCAGGGAGGGGTTTGGGCTTGGGGCCACAAAATCCATCAGAAGTCTCTTGTATCCAAGCCCTCGCCAGCCAATCCTGCAAGTCAACTACTTTCCTGGCCCAAATTCCAGTCATGTAGCCCCAGGACTTAGACACAGAAGTCAGGCTGTCTGAGAAATAATGAGGGAGAGGCCCCTGAAGTTTTCTGAGAATGGTTTGGTCCAGCCGGATACTATCTCTTTTATTGATTTTGGTTCACAGAGGACCGAGTTGGGAAGAGTTCCCCATTTAGGATCAGGCAGACCTGAGATCCACCCCCAGCTCAGTCCTGGTGTGACCTTAGGCAAGTTACTCACCCTCTCTGAGCCTAGGAAAACATCCTAAGGATTCAGACAGCGCACTTTACGGACAGCTCTCAGCTCAGGCCCTGGCACACAGTTGGTGCTCGGTATATGGCAACAGCATTTTCTGCATCCTCAAACTCAAGCCTCCCTTTTCCCAATGGATTTCTGAGGCAGCTGACAAAATTAAACTCGACGCAGCCCCTCATCCGTGAAATGAGGGAGTGGGATTGAAGCCACAGACAGCAGAGCTGGAAGGACCCCTGGAGATCTGCTGGTCCAGCCCCCTCATTAGGGAGGTGAGCAAACTGACAGCAGAAAGGGGCAGTGACTTTCTACGGGGAGGGTCTTCTCCCTCTCCCTGAGCTCTGCCCCCATCTCCAGGGTCCATTTGGGGTCAATGCCATTTGAGCATGAGTTAAAATAAACACCCAACAAGAGATTGAAAGGAGTACAGGCATGGAGACCAAGTAGTCTTTGCCAGGACAAGAAAGATGGGCTTGGCAGTGACTCAATTCATTGTACAAATGTTTCTTGAGCACCTACTATGTGCCGGGCCCTGAGCAGGCTATGTGGACAAGCTGGTGTGGCTCCTGCCTCGGAGAGCTCAAGCCTAGATATCACAGTGCTCTGGGAGCTGACGATGGGGGCTTCTCTGCCAGGTTCCCCACCTCCCCTGGGCCTCCTTCCTGTCCCCAACACACACACACACACACACACACACACACACACACACGCACACACAGCTCTTGTTTTCCAGGGCTCCTGCAGCCCTTCTGTTTCTCTCTGTCCCAGCCTGGGTCCTGCTGGAAAATGGCCAAGGCCATAACTGTTAAGTGAAATAAAACGAGCTGCAGAACAACATGATTCTATTTGTGTAAAAAAAAAAAAAGAGAGAGAGAGAGACACGAAATGTGTGTGACTGTAAATGCACAGTCAAGAGCCACAGAAATACAATAGATAATCATGAGAAGTTCTCTCCAGGGAGTGTGAAAGGGGAGATGGGGAGACTTCTACTTTTA